TGACTCCAATCAGTGTGATGATATTGGATGTGTTGCTGACAGCTGTCCTGCCCTTTAAAAACACACACTTGTTTTGGGTGTACTGGTATCAAGAAGCACTGTCTGATGTGAACCAAGGGGTTCACATACTTTTTCTTGCAACTGTAGGTAGGGGGATAGAGAGAGAGAAATAAGAGAGAGAAATACAGTAGATAGGTAGGGAGAGAAAGTGTGTAGGTAGGTAGGTAGAGGGATAGAGAGTGTGTAGGTAGGTAGGTAGAGGCATAGAGAGAGAGAGAAATATATATAGAGAGAAATACAGCAGATAGGTAGAGAGAGTGAGTGACTAGATATGTAGCAAGATGTTTCCAGGTGTATTTATCCATGTGCTGGAGAAGGAAATCACTGACAAACCTTAAGGCTTTGTTTCTGATGGCATAGAACTTGAACAATGTGATTCTCATCAATTAAAGAGCTTTCCAAAGGGGAAAAAAAGTTTTTGCAGTCTGCAAACCTCTGAAAAACAGCCTGTTTTTTGTGAAAACAGGGCTGTTTTTTTTTCCAATTAAAAGGCATGAATAGCCTTGGGGGGCCTTGCAGAGTGCTCCTGGGGCTGTGGGGGGATCATTTCTGCCCTTCCCAGCCCCCAGGAGCTCTCTGAAAGCTTTCATAAGGGTATGCACGGCCATTTTGGCGAAGGGGGCGGGGTTTGGGAAGCAAAAATGCTGTATTCGATCATAAGAAGCACCCAGATTTTCAGCCTCTTTTTTGAGGAAAAAGGGTGCGTCTTATACTCCGACAAATACGGGTATTCTATTCCCACCCTAATTTTGGCCAGGAGGCAATATAGTTCGCCTGTCCTGGAACATGGGTGACTTTTAGCAGAAAGTGGAGCTATTGCCTCAGTTCCTTTTACCTACCAGATCTCGGCACCTGAACAGGAGGGGGTTCCTGGCATCCACGATCTGAACCACGACATCACTGCAAGAGAGAAGGCAAGAGGCACTATTCCCCCAGCTTAAAGCATGCCCTGAGCTCATGGCAGTCCTGACCCACAGGAGCCCAGCATGGAGCCTGAGGCAGCAGACAGACCCCCCCCCCACAGGCAGGCAGGCAAGTGTGTAGTGTCCCGTCCCCCCCCGTATGTTCCTGAGGCTGTTCCTTCCTGGCAGGAGCTCCTCTCGCCAGGACCAACGGCCTCAGCCTCTGCCAAGAGCATCCTGTCCACAAGGAGACTCCTTTTCACCATCCCACCTGCTCTGATAGGCAGCCTGAGCTGCCAAGGAGACCCTGCCTGGCCCCGGGAGGCGGACTGGACTGTCGCAGTCAAAGCAGAGCTACCTTCTCTCCAGGACTCTCCAGAGCTGACGCCAGAAATCCAAATTTCGCTCAAATGGGGTCAGCAGGAGGTTCTCCTCTTCCTCCAGCCTGTAAGAACGCAGGGGAAGAGTCTTGGGGATTTTAAGGAAGCACACTCAAGAGATGCTTTTCTGTTTACAATCACATTTTTATTTAATGAGCGATACCATGAACTTGAGGGGCATAAAACCTGCAGAATAAAACAGTTCTGAAAGAACAATTTTGTGAAGTCCCTCATCACAAAAGCCCCTTTTGCTGCATGAGATGGCTGGCTCTAAAACCAAAAATTTCCTTCTTGACCCTGGTTTCTGCCAGTTTCCCCTGGAGGTGGAACTTGCAGCCCCCTCGCTCCAGACATGGCGGGGTGGTGGTGCTGTCCTTTTCCTTTGCAGAAGCAATCTTCCCCACTTGTTGGCTAACTTTGTCCTCAGGGCTGTTTCTGCCGTTTAATAAAAGCTTTGCTGTTATTTGAATTTTATTTAATGCTGTACTTTTATTTTCAGTTGATTTCATTTTAAGGCTGAGCCATGGCAAAACAGGAAGCAGCACAAGAGCAATTTTTTAAAATTGCTTCATTCTGGATAATCCTCCTGTCTTGGATATTCAGTATATTGAGCACTTCTTGACATCGGTTGAAAAAGCATCTGAAAGATGCTCCCAACATTCCCCCTCAGTGTCTCTGTGGGGAAGAGGGCCTCTTTTGCTCACTCCAGCCTCTTAAACGTGCCCATGTGCTTTGAACTCATGTCTGGAAGTCTCTCATTTTTACACTTATAAACTGCTCTTTGATGACTCCCTGGGCCAACGCCAGAAGACTCACCAAGCAAGCCGCCTCCTCCACCTCAGGAAGCTGTCTCTTTCGGCCTGGTCCAATGCTGTAGGGCTTGTTTGTTCATCCCATGGCGGCCTGGAAGAACCAAGCACAAAATGAAAAAAGAGGTTTGTTAGCCTGCTGAATGCACCACAAAGAAATGCTTGCTTCAGAGCAATAGAAAATGATCTTGGAAGAGACAGTTTTGGTAATGGAAACCAAAAGACACTTGCTAGAGCAGCATTCCTCAACCTTTCCGGGTTGGTGGCCTGGCGCGGGTTTGGGGGTTGGGGGTAGGAGATGGTTTTGTGTGCACGCTTACAACTTTATTTGTGTGAGTGGGGTTGCAAATGCTGGCACTCGCTGCTCGTGTAAGTTGAGCTGTGCGCATGAGCATACCGGCTGCCACTCATGCGGCCTGGCTGAGAATAGGCCACAGCCCAGTAGTGGGTCTTGGCGCAGAGATTGAGGATCCTAGAGGAAGGCTGAAGAGAGCTAGCTGGACAGGCTGGGAAGTGACTTTCTGATCGGTGAGCCTTTCAGGCAGTTCTTCATGCCCCTCAGGGAAGATGGGAACTTTTCGCGAACAGCTTCTATACCCGAGAATGAATAGTTAAAAGGAACACGGAAGGAAAGAGGAACAGAACTCAAAACATTTTGTATCAATCTAAAATTCATGGGAGGACAGATTTCGTAGAACACCTGAAAGAGCAGGAAAGCAAAACAAGTGATGGAAATTAATCCTGAAGAGAGCTGGCTATCAGCCGCCTTCAAGGGATGCAGAATTTTAGAATCTTAGAATTGGAAGGAACCTGGAGGTCTTCTAGCCCGACCTCTTGTCCTGCATAAAGTCCTTCCTTGGTGGCCTAGCAAAAAGGCAGGGAAAGCACACGAACATGTTCGATCCTTGTTTTCCCCAGGGGCAAAGACCTCATCCAAAGGGTTCCCTATCATTAATGCTACATAAAAGCAACAATCGATATCGACATGACCTATGTGTCAGCTGAAGAACACAAAATATCACAAACTGTCAGGTTTTCAAAAGTAGTTCTCTAGAGAAAATTATGTTTTAAAAACACAGAAGAGGCAAGGAAAAGATGCCCAAGTCTTGCCTATCATTCCTATTTAGGAATAATGAAACAAGGCACAGAGCAGGCAAGATTTCAAGGCTGGCTGAGACATGAGCCGTTCACAGGATCTCAGTCTCACAGTTATTGTAGTAGAAATACGAAACCTAGTTTTATACTCAACATATTCTTCACCGTTAAGCAAAGCTCACAAAGCCTTGATAGGGACAAAACAAACAAACACCTTTCAACAGAGTTTATTTACATTCTCAAAGTTGCCTGTAGCTTTAGCTCACATTTAGCTGAGCAATAAAGGTGTTACCACCATAGGGGTTTATTATAACCTCAGGATCAAATCTGCAATCACAAAGCCGGAAAGAGGAGCCGATGCTTCAGAAGAGGGAGGGAGGGAAGGAGATGCCAACTCCAGCATCCCCAGGAAAGAAAAAGGGGAGAGGACCCAGCAGCGCTTCGCCCTCGGCCTGCCCGGCCTTTGCTAGGAGATCCTCCCCCCCCCCCCGCAACACACACCCACCCTCCCTCCGCTTCTCCGGAGCTGCCGGGTCCTTCGGGGGACGCACCTTCTGGGGATGCGCAGCACCCGCTCCTCCTCCTCCTCCTCCTCCCGCGGCCGGCCGGCTTCCTCTGCAGCCCCGCAGCCGGGGGCCAAGCGCACGTTCAGCTTCTCTGCGGGCGGAAAGCGGTGTCAGGCGGGCAGAGGCGCCCCCGCCGCCCCCCACCCGCCGCCCGGCCCGGCCCTCCTCACCTGCGGCGAAGGCGGCTCCCGCCAGCTCCGCCGCCGCCAGGAAGGCCTCCAGCGGGCTCTGCTCCGTCACCGACTGCGGCGGGGGGCCGCGGCCCTGCTCGCTCAGCTCGCTCGTGTGGCGCTGCGGGAGGAGACGCGCCGTCACGGGGGCCTCGGGAGCTCCCGGCCCGCCCCGGTACCCCACCCCCCACCCCCACGGGAAGGGGAAGCGGCGCGGCTCACCCATCCCGCCCCGGCCGACCGGACCCCGCGGCGGAGGGAGCGCCCCAGCGCCGGCGCCTGCTTCTTGCCCATCGCGCGCCCGGCGCTTCCGGGCACGTGGCGCGGGCAGCCAATCAGCGGCGCGGCCGGGAGCGCTACCGCGAAGGGTCCGGGCGGAAACCGACCTCCGGAAACCGTCAGTTCCGGCCTCACGGGGGCGCTGGAGGGCCGCGGCTCCTTCCCTTTGCCTCGGGGAAGCTTCGGAGGACAAGGAGGACTAGAAACTTAAGCATGAAGCGTGGGGAAGCGCTGGAAGGCGGCTAATCGAGGCCGACCCTTCAGCCTTTAGGGGAAAGAACGCGGCAAACACGCATCCCCGCCGGCGTCACGAAGGCACAGCTCGGCCTCTTTTGCCGGAAAGAGGGTTCACCCTGACCGTCTGCAGGGGACGAAAGGGCCGCCGTGGCCGCGGCTGGCCTCCAAACTCAGGCGGAGGCGAGGAGGGGACGCCTCTGCCCGGCCTCGGTTTGGTCCAAAGGTCCTGCCGGCCGTGCACTGGGGGGGACGGGACGGGGGAGAGCTGCTTGTGGTTGCCGTAAGCGCTTGCAGGGCGAGGGGAGCCTGGGGAGTTTGTAGCTCCCGCAAACACCGGCTGAGCACCAAAACGTCCGAAGTCAGAGTGAGCACCTGGGGGGGGGGGTTGATGCCAGGGAGTGCAAAGGGTCCAGCAGAGGGAAGGAGAATTGGCCGGTCTCAAGCCACTTTCATTCCACGGAGCAGGTCGAGGGGTGGCTTTTAAGCTGAGAACGACAACTTTGGTCGGACAGAGCTTTAGGCTACCGTAAGTGACCAGGTACTTCTGAACAAAGAAGGGCAAAGCCTCCAAGTTAAGCTGCCCAGCAGTGGCAGGCAGCACATTTTGGTCTCATCCCTTGCTAGGAAGAGTCGGGAGGCTGGGTTGGGGCAGCACCAGCACCAACAGAGGGAAGAGCACTAGCAGCCTTTTCCCACTTACTGGGACTTGCCTGAGATCCTGCCCCCCCCCCCTTCCCAACACAGATCCTGCCAGCTGAAGAATCTTTCACTGGCCTGTGACTAAGCCCACACCCATCTTCTCTTCTAGCACAGGTTGCAAGAGGTTGTGTTTGTGTGGCACTGCTTCTCCTTCCCCCTGCCCCTCTGTCTAGATCGCCCCCCCCCCCCAAACAGCAGACTCCACCCAGTCAGCAGAAAGATCTATTGGCTTATTTCTTAGATTTCATTCCCAACTTCTGTTTGGTGGCTCAAGGCAGGATACATAATGTGCTTCCTCTTTCCCCCACAATAGCCCTGTGCAGTAGGGCAGACTGCGAGTCTTAATTAGGAGGCTGATTAAGAGGGTTGGAGGCTGAAACATATGAAAGGTGGTTGCAGGAATTGGGTACATCTACTCTTCTAGTGAAGGACTGGGGCGACAGGATAGCCGTGTTCCAATATTTGACGGGGTGCCACAAAGAAGAGGGGGTCAATCCGTGTTCCACAGCACCTGAAGGCAGGACAAGAGGAAACGAATCGAGGAGAAAACCAACCTAGAGCCAAGGAAAAAATTCCTGACAGGACAGTGGAATAGTTTGTCTCCAGAAGTTGTGGGTGCTCCAAGAACAGATTGGGCAGCCATTTGTATTAAAGGGTACAGGACAGTGGTGGCTAACCTTTTTGTTCTTGGGTCCCAGGGTGTCTGTCTCTTCACTCTGACCAGAAAGCTGAGTAAACAGGGGCACCTCAGGGAAGTCACAGACTCACATTAAAACTTGGTTTGCCAGTTCTGCAATCCATCGCAACTTACTGCTGTAGCAAACCCACTTTGTCCATTAATCAATGCATCGGTTAATTCAGTTATCAGGTTAAGTCCAAAGTCATACACTTTTTGAGATGGTCCATTTACCTCTGAAAATCTTCCTTTTGAACATGAAGTGTAAAATCCTGCATGACATCAACTAGAGAAGCAAAACAGGAACAAAAAAAAGGCCTGTCCAGAAATAGGTTTATCTGGCAGGGAAAACCCCGAAAGCACCAGACGCTGCTTCCCCTCCCGGCATCAGCACAGCAGCCCTCCTGGTGCAAGACGGGTTTGGATGAGGCCAGGCGCGCTTTAAAGCCCCCGCTGCGGGTCAGGAAACGGCCCAGGCGGCGACGCTTGTCCAAGGGGAACGCCTTGCGGTGGTCCCACCGGTTGAAGGGCTGGGACCGGCAGGAGCGGATAGGCCGTCGGCGCGGAGAGCAGGCGACCTGAGTGCGGCTCCGCATTTGGGCGCCCGGTCGCAGCACACACATACCCCCAGGCGCGCGGGGCGGCCGGCGGGGCTCTTCAGAGGCCTCCCCCGAGGCGAGAAGTCGCTCCGCTTCG